TCATACGCTTTTGCAAAAAAGGCGAATTTAATGCAAAATGTCAACACTTGTCAAACTGGCGGATTGAGCATGATCGACTTGTATTATTAGTCTAATCATATTAGACGAAAACATGCCTGGTTTGCGAAATAATTGTGAAGTCTGGTTTTATTGCTGCAAGTTGTTCAAGATGGTATTCAAAACATGAATCCATGAAATGGGTACACCAATTTTTGTGGAAAAACTTTTTATTCAACAACAAAGGATGAGAAAACGTGTTTTTGGGATTCAATCGAAGGTGTTGGCAGGATCGAAAAAACGCATATAAGATTTTTAGGTATTTATGAGACCTACACAGTGACAACACACGAAAAGATCCGAATAATAGCAAAAAAGATATGGCCGAAAACCGAGCCAAGCTGTAGGTTTCAGTACATGTTGGTCATGCGACGATGGTTCCTCGCAGATATTTGAAATTCCTAAATTTTCGTAGGATTCGTACTTCTAAATAACTACAACAAAATTGGAATAATCATGTGCCTATCAACGACCGCTGGTACAGCATCAATTAATTTTGAAGGCAAGTGTGGAGCGGTCGCATACGACCGCCATGGCATTCAACCTGTTATACAGGGTAGCGCATCGAAAACGAAACACGCATTTACTGGCAGCTCAGTTTTTTTTTTGAATAACGCTCAGACCCGTCGATTTTGTTTTCGAGGGGAACACAAGTTTGGCAATAAAATCACGTTAACACGTGCAGCCCCCTGGGCGGGGGTGACACCAACCCTGAAATCTTAAATGGAAAGGGGGGTCGAGTGATACCTTATTTTAAAGGTCTTTGAATTCCCTTTATAATGACATAAAATTAATGTACTTCAGTTCAGTAGTTTTGAAGAAGAAATTTGACTAAAAGAATTTACTTAATAAGTAAATGCTTTTCTTCATTACGCCCATGGTTTGTTTATCATCTTGTTTTGAAAATAGCTATTGGAGCGTTTTTTGTGGCAAAAAAGCTATTATTTTAAAAAGGAATTTAGTACATAGTTTTCGACTGATTTGACCAAACTTTGTTGCTAAAATAACTTGTAACGCTTTATTACATAAATTAACCATGGTATATTCCACAGCAGAAAGAGTTGGAATTATAGAAATATTTTTCGGAAATAATCAGTGCGCTAATAGAACAGCAGAAATATTTAATGAGCGTCATGACAACAGTAACGTGCATCAAAAATATGTTCTAGAACTTGTAGCTAAATTTCGGGAAACTGGGTCAATCGCCAATAAAAAACGCAACATTCAAAATCCCATAAGGAACGAAGCAATAGAAGTGCTGGTTTTAGGGCAAGCTTATGTAGATCCTTCGTTAAGTACCCGCAAATTGGAGACTGTGTGTGGTGTTAGTCGACGTACTGTCCAACGGATTCTAAAGGCCCATAGTTTTTATCCGTAAAAAATTCACCTGGTACAAGAACTTAATGAAGACGTTTTTGATATGAGTGAACGAATTATAAACGATGAACATTTTCTATTCAACACTTGCTTTTCCGACGAATGATCCTTTTTCTTAAATGGCGTAGTAAATCGTCATAAATGCCGATATTGGTCCGATTCTAATCCCAGAATTTATCATGAGGTTCATACACAGCAGCCACAAAAATTAAATGTTTGGGCTGATATTTTTGGGATCATTTAGTTGGTCCTTTTTTCTTACCTGGAAATTTGACGGGTGAAATGTATTTGAAATTACTGGAAGACGCCATAGATCCTGCATTAACAGCCATAATTGAAAATCAGAATGATCGGGCGGTACATTGCGAATAGGTTGATGTTCCAACAGGATGGTGCCCCACCACATTACGCATTACGTGTTCGACGATATTTAGATCAGACGTTTCCAGATCGATGGATTGGTAGAAGAGGTGCCATTGAATGGCCCCCAAGATTGCCAGATTAATCACCTTTGGATTTCTTTATGTGCGTCATTTAAAAAGCAAAATCTATACTCCTCAAATATTGTAAAATGTGCCGCAACGTTTTGAGCGAAATCTTTATTATTGCATGGAGAGTCATGGTGGCCATTTACTTGCCTAACGGGTCAGTTCATTCTTCATTTTTAAATTACTTTGCTGCCAAATGTATTGATCTCTACTAATGATGATGTATTAGTTTTATTTAAGCTTTAAATCAATAAATCTTCAAAACTACTGAACTGAAGTACATTAATTTTATATCATTATAAAGGGAATTGAGAGACTTTTAAAATAAGGTATCACTCGACCCCCCTGTCCGTTTAAGATTTTGGGGGTGGTGACACCCCCGCTTAGGGGGCTGCACGTGGTAACGTGATTTTTTGCCAAACTTGTGTCCCAGTCGAAAACAAAATCGACGGGTCTGAGCGTTTTTCAAAAAAAAACTGAGCTAAATGCGTCTGTTTAAAAAATTAATTAATTTAAAAAAAACAAACGTTTTCATCTGTGGCTGCATGTACAAATAAGGTTATACTTTAGTCGTTTTTTTCTATAAAATACTTCTAGATAGTTGCTTTATCATATACAAATGCAATGCAGTTAAAGGATATTAAGGAATCATGATAAAATAAGGACTATTCTGATACTTATAACCTTCTGATATTGTTTCCTCAACTTTGACCATCTGTGGTGAAACAACAATATACTGGGGCTGTCTTAAGGATAAAATTTATTCAAAACCAGTTCAAAACGAAGAACATTTGCGAGAACAAATACATCAAGGTGCTGCTGAGATAGCCCAATTGAATCAGAGAACTCTAAAAGCGTCTTTTCTTAAGAGATGCCGAGCTTGTATTAGAGTAGGAGGTCACCAATTTGAGCATATTTTGAGCCGTTTTACACACAAGAAAATTACTCCGAAAATTATGGTCATAATTATGCTGAAAATTTTTGCTGTCGTATTACACGTAAAAGAATTCTTATGAACATTTTCATGGTAAAAATATAAAACCCGTTCTATAGAATATGCGCGAGAATCGGCGCAGAGGGTTATTTCCGTGCATGTCATTATCAAATGTCAACGTCAACAACATAACCTCACTTAACATTTGTGGGTGTGGTGTGTGGTCCTGTTCGAGTCGTACGTAGAAGCGTTCATTGTTATTGCTTATTCATAATGTCGTGGAATCGGGAAGAAGTTACACTGTTGTTGGAGGAGTACCAAACATGTACAAGATGAAGTCACCCAAGATCTCGATTTCAAAAATAAATTTACGTCTGCTGTCTTTCCGATTACTATATATTGGACGTCATACCCGTTAAGGTTATGTCCATTCGAAAATATTACTATAATGCGCAGGCGTATCATATGAATTACACGGAAGTTTTGTTTGCTTGTGTCATACAGGTTGTAGAGGAAATCTTCAACATTTTTTCCATGCAAATTTTCGGCATAATTATGACCATAATTTTCGGAGTAATTCTCTTGTGTGTAAAACGGCTCTTTGTCAATAAATAAATTTTTTCACAAACAATTTGTGCTTTATTTCACGATAACTCGTTCCTTACAAAAATAGTTCTTTTGTAGGTATTGTTACTGGCCTGTATACATTGTAGGAGACATACCTCTAACACAATTACCTTTTGTTCTCGTTTCAATCTGTAAAATCCCCTCTGTGATCGGACGTTCAGGCATTCCATCGCTCCACTTCACCTCGCAGAGCCATTAGTGTTTTATCTGCACCAGGTCGCATCCTCGTCATCGCCAAATTCGCAAACGCTAACCGGTTTTTCGCGCGGCGACACAGAAGTTTTTCACTGCACTTTTCCGACACGTCGAGTTCGATTTCAGTTAGCTTCCCATTGTTTTCAGTATTATTTCTGTTATCTCTTTGCAATGCGATGATTCATCAGTCGCGTCCCAGTTTACTACAATTATTTATTGTTTGTCATACAATAAAAGATCCTAACAGATTAATGTAGAACAGACGATACGGGTACGTTAAAAAAATGTTACATATTGGTCTCTTGGGACATTCAAGGGACCCAGTGCCAAATTGACGTTGGATTGGTAATTTCCGTTTTTGCCAGGAAGCAACCACTCGCTTTTGTTACAAATCATCACTCCATAGCATTAACAGCATTTCTCAAAAAAAAAAAAACTTTTCGGGAGGCGCTTCCAAAGCTTTGTATTTAGTTTGGATTGAAGGTAGATGAAATGTACAAGGTGATTCAGTGAAACGGCACGATTTGGCAACGCTTCTGGTGGAAAAATAGAAAAACCGCAGCTTGCGACGTGAACGATGTGAATTTAGAGAGTTGGAAGTTTAGTTATCATCGAGAAGTGGTCACATTTGATGTGTAAACTGGTGAAAGTTTTGTGCGTGTATAACGAGCGTTTCGTTTACACTACCATTTGCCGCCCCGCGCTCCAGTTCTTTGGGGGTATCGTAAGTCGAAAGTAGTTCTAAGTAACCCTCCAAGAACTATCGAGGCTTTGAAAGAACGGATACGCGACGAAGTGGTAGTAGGGGAACGGAGGGTACCTTTTACCGTACGGCGTCTAATTTCGTACAGTCAAGTTTGAAAGGAATGAAATGTCAGAAAGCTACCGTTCCTTGTTGCACACGTCGGGTTTGTTGGGTTAACTGTCACAACAACCGTTCGCGCCATTCTGTGCTCAAACATGGCGGCGAGAGCATGATCTGTGTTTTTGCGATCGTGGATATAATATTTTACCTTCGAAAACTTAATTGTAAGTACTTTAATATGTGTATACGTGTTGTTTTTATTATTAAAATTGTTGAACAATATTGTTTTTTAATGAAATAAGTTGTTTTCGTTGTAATACTATCATCCGATTTCGCATGATTCTGCTTAAACATGGAGGATAGTATGTCGGCAAAGTGCGAAAAATATTAAAATTGTTTTTGAAATTGTCCCAGTACATAATTGTATCATTTTGACCCTCAGGTCTTTGATATTAGGAAATAAAAACTTTATTTACAGATGGAGCCTAAAAAGAAGTGCTCTTGGTCGCCCAGAAAAATGAAAAGTGCAATAAGGGACGTTCGTGGTGGAGCAAAGTTGAGGCCGACAGCTGCTTTGTATGGTATTCCTGTTATGACATTATCTGATTACTCAAAAAGGGACAGCTATGATCTTCCATGGGAAGAAAACCCGTTTTCTCTCGTGAACAGGAGACAGAAATTAGAGATCAAATATTACTTCTGGCAAGTATGTTTTATGGATTGACGCCACAATCATTGAAAGCAGCAGTTTTTACATATGCGGAGTCTAACAAAATTAAAAATCCTTTCAATAAAGATAAAAAAGAAGCTGGTAAAGACTGGATGTATGGGTTTTTAAAAAGGAATCCTGAAATAAGCATCAGACGCCCGGAACCTACCAGCGTAAATAGAATTCTTGCCTTTAATGCCACAGAGGTACAGATATTCTTTGATAATCTGTCATCAACATACGACAAGTATAGATTTCGTCCTCATAGAATATTTAATGTTGATGAAACAGGCATCAACGCTGTTCACAAACCAAGTAAAATACTTGCTCCTAAAGGGATTAAGCAAGTAGGATCTGCCACAAGTTGGGAGCGTGGGAAGAATATTACTACTTGTTGCTGCATTAGCGCAACTGGCCAGTATGTTCCACCACTTATTATATATCCTCGGTTGAGAATGCATCCGTCACTAGAGCAAGGAGGTCCAAACGGTTCAAGTTATAGATGTAATAAGTCAGGGCGGATGACTGAAGAATTGTTCTATGCATGTTTAGTGCATTTTGCGGAACATACAAAACCCTCATTGGAAGACCCGGTATTATTAATCCTAGATAATCACAGTAGTCATATTTCTGTGAGAATTTACGTCGCCAAAATGGCATTATTATGTTGACAATACCGCCTCATACGTCGCACAGGACCCAACCCCTGGATATTACAGTTTACAGTCCCTTGAAAACAGCTTTACATAAAGAATGTGATGCCTATATGAAACTCCATCAATATGAGAAACTAACGCCACTGCAATTGATTCCACTGTTCACTCAAGCGTATTTGAATGTAGCTAATGCAGAAAAAGCACTTAGTGGTTTCCGAGCATCAGGCATGTGGCCCTTCAATCCAAACGTTTTCAGTCAATTGATACAAGAAGGAAATGATAACGCTTCTGACAGGATTTCCGCAGAACAGGCTATTGTAGATATAAGGATGGAGTCTGAAAATGTGGAAGCATCATCTGCTTTACTAGACATTCCGATGGATTTTTTTATAGTACCTACAAATACAGAACCAAATGAATCCGCTGATGACTCACGCCCTTCAACATCAGGAATTCAAAATTCGTTACTTTTTGAAAATCCAGAACCAGAGATAGCTCATAATTCACTTCCGTCAAAATCTGCAACTCAGACAGAAATTGAGCATGCCAAACGACAACTTTTTGTGACTCCTGTGGGAAATAAAACACCTGAACACGTAATACCTTTTAGTGAAATATCACCAGCTCCTGAAAAGAAACACATTTCAAAAGGGAAAGGTATAGGTAAACGGACCAAACAACAATCAAAATTACTTACTTCGACGCCTATGAAATCTGTTTTAGAAAAAATTGAGGAAAAACGAGTCGCCAAAAAGAAGAAACTAGAGGAACACTCTGAGACTATGACAAAAAAACTTAAAAAGAGGAAAAATAAAAAAAGTTTTAAAAAACAAATGATAAAGGAGAGTTCATCATCTTCTGATGAAGATCTACATGTTCTATGTGATGATGAAGAAGAGTTAGATGATGATTTTTCTGAAGGAAGGGGAGGTGAGACAGGTGTCGAGGAACTATGCGTTATTTGTGGTGATTTCGGGAAGGCTAACGAATTGTGGTACAGGTGCGTCAGCTGTGGTAGCTGGTCGCACGCTTTATGTTCCGGATATGATTCTGCAGTTAATTATTTTTGTGGATTTTGTATGTAAAGACAGGAAAACGTTTATGATTTATGTTAGAAGTTCATTACCGTTTATTTTGAGTTAAATATATTTCTGTTAAATTATGATTTTCAGTTTTTTTACGCTAATACACTAATGAAACGGATGGCATATACGAGGATGTGTGTACGAAATTAGACGACTACATGTACGGCGTTACCCGCTTGATTCGGTTAATGCCGTACAAAGACTGCTTTCAATTGGAGTGCTCTATCTGGTATAATTGTGACTTTTATCTTCTGTCGTTAAGCATATATATATAATAGGCCTCATTATTAGCAAATTCAAATCGATAATTATCTTTTTTGATGAATACTTGAGTAACAAGGACATTTTATAGTTATGAGTACGGCAATACCCTCCGTTCCCCTAATACCTCAAGAAATGTTAGTCAATGTCGTAAACAGCTTTGCTTCAAAAGCTGAACATTTCTTCACTTACACATTAATTTGCATCTGTGTAGTATACGTTTTTTTATTTACTTTAAATTTAATAAAATGATATTTTTTCAGTTTTTTTGTTTATTTGAAATTTTTCATTTCATTGAATCATCTTGTATTACAGTGATCCTAGCAATTTGCTTTACGGGGTTCAGGCTGACTATATTTTATATGATTCTAGCTTCAGCATATTTTTATTTATTTGTGTTTTTATTATTTTAGGTTTGAATGAGATACGCCCCTTGGCTGCATAGCAAACAAAAAAAAAATACACCTCATATATCCAGGCGATACAATTTTAATGACAATGCATACGGTATACAATTACATCTTATATTAAAAGGAATCATAGTTTCAGGTATAGCAATATTTCAAAGAAAATCCACATACAATAAAGTCAAGTAACAAAGTACATGAGAAACCAAAATTGAATAAAACCAAAACCTTTTTGACTAGCTTGACTGTACTACCAAAACAAAAACCATATAAATGTAAACATTTCTGTTAGTATTTAAAAAAACGAACAACTCTCATTCAGGGTGTTGATTTGAAAACTTCCCACCACGGATTTATCAAAAACCACTGATTTAAAGAACAAACGCCGTGACACGTCGAGAGATTTGTCAAGGGGGACAATTTTTTAACCAAAAACTACTTCTTCTCCTTTCACCATCGGCCCCCCTGGGTCATTCCCTTAATAATTTCAAATAGAGGTATCGAGTAACAGCTTGTTTGAAAGGTCTATCGAAGTACTTCATTTTGACGTTTGATTTTTTAAAATCAGTCGATTCGTTCTCGAGAAAATTACAAAAATATCTATTTATCTTAATTTGTTCAGATAGAAAACAAAAACACACGAAAATATCACTTTTTATTTCAATAAGTGTTAAAGGTGTTGCCCGTTTGCCAAATCTACTATTCGTTTATAATTTAAAATGGAAGCTTCCAACATAAACAGCAATTCGTAAGATTAGACGTGGCAACAACCAAATAACGACCCGATTTTTTTTCCGTATTCTTTTCATCAACACCGAATAGCTGGGCGAACTGTATTTATTGTTATACCTGTTTGGTTATTTGTTGCTAAGGGAAAGAAATAATTTAATTTGATGTCAGTTACCTTTGTGACAATTTTGGGATAGTGAAAATTAATTTATTGATTCAGATTTTACTTCCAAAATGGTTTACGCACTATCCGAAAGAGTGGAAATGATACCAATAATTACGTTTAAAAGGCGGCTCCGACGCAGTGAGTTTCAGGCCATTTACAAGGGTTTAGCTGCTTCGGAATTGACGCTCCATTTTTCTATATATTTGAATAAAATTTATACAGTATGTTCAGAAGACAATTGTCCAGGGTGCTATAGAGCCACTTTTCTAAAAAAAAATTTTTTTCAGGAGTTATGGTGGGTGGAAGTGCAGATAATTGTTGTTCGACTTCTCGATTTTTTTAAAAATAACCCAGAGGAAAAAACGAAAAAGTGGCTCTATAGCACCCTGTGGAGTCTTGTTTTTAGTGCACTGTGAAAATTTCATTGAAAAATATTCAAAAATGAAGCGTCAATTTTGAAGCGCGAAAACCTCTGCAAATAGGCTTTTACACGAATTTTATACACTATCTCGTGCTGCCAGTCGAAGCAACGCGGCGGTGTGTAAGGACTAAGAAAGGACGTATTCAGATAATTTGTTGTCCCAAGTTAAACAGTAGCAGTTTTAACGTCGGTCGTTCGAGATAAACATCGGACCATTAAGTGATATTTTTAATAGACTTCAATGAAAGAGGGGAAATTTTTAATCGATTTTGATCATTTCTTTTTATACAATAGGCCATGCTTCAGAGGTGATACCACAAAAAATCATTTTTGTTCAATCACTCCAATATGGATATCAAATGGAAGCACTTGTACAAAACAGTAATACGAAAACAGTTTCAAATCAAGATGGCGGCCGTTACAAAATGGCGGATAACATACTTGCTAATATCTCAAATAAGAGTCGTCGCCTTGTAGAATACAGTACTTCACTAAAAATTTGATTCCAAGATTGCCGCCGTTTCGAAATTGCGAGTTACATACTTTTGTACAAAACCCCCAATTTACATATCAAATACAGAACTTTGTGACCAAAAGTTTCCAGGTGGTTCCAGGGTCATTGGAGGCGGTAATCTTTTTAGTTAAAAATAATATAGTGAACGCATTTACCACAAATAAAATGTCACTTGCTGTTTAGCTTTAACCTTATGGAGTATCGTAGAATAAACTTAACACGATAAGCGTCATGAGATATAATGCGTGTGTCGCACCTCATTTGGCGCTTTGGGCCTCGTGACACACATGATATGTCTCACTGCTGGCAGTTATATTTGGCCGCGTAACGTAAGACGTGTGCCATGCTGATGTGATTTTCTTACGGGAACCAAGAGTCCGTGGCCTGAGGGACCAAATTATACTGAATTGGAAATGAAAACATTAAAAAACACGTTGTTTATAGAGTTTTACAAAAAGAGGATATTCTACAAATCTAAAACAAAAAGCAAATCTTATAAAATAATCAGACATTCTCATTCAAAAATGAACAAAGTAATTTCACAGCAAATCAGTAAGTTATGGTAAATGTCGATATTCTAACGAACACAAATATGGAGGAACTCTTATAAACTAAACAGATTGACAAAGTCTTATGCAGGGATAAACAAAATACTGGTATAAATAAACAGTAATACAGATAATAATGGAATTACTACAACTACTATCTGATTCACTACCACTTGGAGAATACGCATCAGATAAGTATACATCCCCACATAACTCAGTACTGCCACT